ATCCACGTCCTGGGTAAGACGATAAACCATGTCTAGCAGAAAGGCCTCTGGTCAGGAGGTTTTGAGGAGCGTGGAACCACCTTTTAATTGCTGGTCTTCCCAGGTCTATCCTGACTCGGGGTGGTAGCACCTGTTACGCTCCCAGCTATGTGAAAATAGTTGACTATTACCATAAATATGTATTTTTTTTTTACCAGCAATACAATTTTGTAGGAAAAATATTACCAGAAACAGATTTTTGACCAAACAAAATACTACCAGCAATAAATAATCTTCTCGACATTAAATAACCCCATTGAGGTTGATGTGCCGTAAACCAAACCAAACCAAACCAAACCAAACCAAACCCTAACTCTTTACAGTTTCCTGTTTTTTGTTGCACTCTCAGCAACACTTGGGAAACCTCTTTTTTCCATATTTATTTCTTTGTCTATTTACACCAACATGTCAAATAGGTTAGCCGATGTTTTCTGCGGGCGTCTATTTGCTTTCGGTGGGTCATGTAAGTGTTAAATTCTTCAAGCCTTTTTCTCATATCTATGCAGCTCAAAGATTTCAATTGTCTCTTTCTTATTGATATGAACAGTTGTTTTATTGTTATTACTCTTAAGAACGCCTCCATTTCTTAACTTATTTTAGGGCGTCCAGTCAGTGGCGATGGTAAACAAATTCATTACGAGAACCCAAAAGTTTGTTGTTAAACCCAAGGAAACCTTCAACATCTCAATCCAAAAGGAATCTTATGAAGAAAAAGTTGGTTCTTTTCTTAGGAATCAAAAAGGATTCATGAATAGAAATTACTGGAATCTGAACAAACCGTTTACTGTGTAACTCTATGCATGAACTTATATGACTAAATTCATTTATATAATTATATTATAAGGGTGCAAGGCCGAGTGGTTAGAAAGTTCGCTTTTCGATTATGAAACCCGAGTTCGAATCTCACCCTGGTCGATTAATGAGGAAGGGGACTTTTTGATGTTATCAGTGTGGTTAGGTGATCTCAGCGTGCGGCACTACTGGAAATTATCCGAAAACTATACCACTGTTTACCCAAAGCTTTGTGAATGAAAAGGTGTAGAACTGTTCGGAAACAGCCGATTGTTGTGCTAGCACGAAGTCACAAGTCATTGTGATCGAGTGTTTGGGCGTAGTGGTGTTGCTCAAAACTGCTGATCATTCCAGATTATGCACTTTCCCCCAGAAATTAAAACTAAAGTCAGTTCGGTATAGTTGCAATTAGTATAAGCTACAAGTGGGTGAAAAATAAACACAGATATAGTTCTGAGCCATTGTCTGCAACGAAAAGACTGGAAATATTTACCACAATTGAACTGACAAGAAGGATATTTATAATGAATTTAGGCTATAATGGCACAGATAAAAGTAGAAAAATGAAGGAAAATGGCACAAGTGAAAAAATATGAAAAAAATACGTTTATTGAAAAAAAAACAGTTGTTTTTGAATGGAATCTATTTTTTAATATATTATCTTCTATTTATTAACCTTTTTTAATATTAGCAAAAAGTAGAACTGTTTTACCGCCATTTGTTAATATAAACCTATACGTTTAAAATTTATGAAAAAACAATTATAATAAAATCAAATATGTTTAAATATGAGCCATTTTTACCGGCGCCATTTTATCGTATTGTTAACTGTGCCATTATGACCGTTCACCATACATAATATTACCGGGTTATTTTTTCTTTTTCTTCTGCAAATAAATAATTGTAAAAAAAAGTAGTTTTTTTTTAAATAATTTCATCTCAAAGCAAAGCAATAACGTCACTAAGAAGCAAAGGGGTTATTGAGTGTGAGATGATATGAGAAAAAGAAAATATTATTAGGTTCATTAAAGAACAGAAATTAAAAAGACAGAAGACAACCATTGTCATTGCATTTAAAATTTTGAAGATTAAAGTTGACTGGGAAGCAAAAAAACAGAAGAGTGTTCTACTAGCGAGAAATGCGACAGAAGAAATTCTTAATATAAAACTTACGGTTATATTTTAACTGTACAATTTGTCGCCAATCTAGTTCTGTGCTTAAATTCATGAAGTCTAGGTACCAAAGAGAAAAGTTCATCAGAACAATTACCATGAAAAGGCATTTATTTATTTATGGAAAAGGCACAGTTTTTTGTTTGTTTTTTTTATTTTATTTTAATTTAATTTAATATTTAATTTTATTATAAAAATATAATTTTACTTTATAAATTTGATTACTTTAAATATTTAGTAAATATTTACAGGAAGGGCATAGTTTATTTGTTTTTTTATAAACAATTAAAGAAATAGATTTTATATTGTTTTGAAATGATTTTCGACTATCCTGGAAAGTAAGTATGATATATCTGAAAGTATTTTCTGGAATATTCTGGAACTGTAGATGGGCGTGAGAGTAAGTGAGAGAGAAAGAGATAGAAGAAGAGAGAGAGAAAGAAGATAGCGAATAGCGAAGAGAGAGAGAGAGAGAGAGAGAGAGACAAACAGGCATTTTCGTTGATACTGTGAACTGTGATTGACTTTTAATGGCCCCATTGTAAAAAACTGCAGTAAGCCCGATCTATAATAAAATATCGCGTTTCTCCTTTTATCTGAGCGTGAGTTAGGCCTTTCAATTAAGATTTAAAAAAAAAAAAGTTTAAGAGGTTAAGTTTAAAGGATGCGAGCACAGTCAATACGAGGGAAAGTTGGAGGTGAATTGGTCTTCCCGATTAACGATAATGAAATTCAAACATATGAATGAAACAGATACTAAGGGCGACCTCTCTCTCTCTCTCTTTCTCTCTCTCCCCTCCCCCTCCCCGATTTCTCTGTATCTATGATCTGTACTGTAGTCTCGATTGTGTTTATATAGCTTCCTTTAATCACTGACCAACTGTCATTTTTAATTAATCTCTGTTGGCTTGAAATATTGACTGAGAAGGGACGACGGGTTGTCGACAAAGACACCAACACTTAACCTCACTATATTTCTAACAGTTTTATATTTATATAAGATGGTAACCGGACCCAGTAGACAAAAATCCAGCCTCTTATACCAATAGTGGACAAAATCCTAGTCTCATCAATAAAGGTGAAGTACCCCGCTGAAATAGATCTTTCTTGTCTATACATATGTATATATTAGATATTCTTATTAATGTCTCCATTTGACATTAAAATTTGAATTAAAAGTTTTAATTATTTTCGCAGGACTTGTGCTTGCAATCAATATAAACATTAATCGCTACAAAAAGAATTTCTCGAAATTTCTTAAAATTAAATAAGTGAGTGGTGGGTAACAAATGTAAAAAAATATTTTAGCAACATTTTCTAAAAAAGAAAGATGTTCATTTTTTTTTTTTTTTTTTTTTGTGAATAAATCTGAAATTTTATTAAAATCCGACAATTATCTCATTTTTACAAGAATTTCCAATTCAATGTTTTTTACAGAAAGGAAAAAAAAACGCTCAAGTTTCCCATTATAATTTATAGTCGCCCATTTACGCCAGAGGAACAAGATTTTTAGTCAAAATCCCGTATCTTGAAAAATGGATTAAAAAATGATTTTTACATCTAGAAATCTTTGGTCTTTCCTCAAAATACTAACAGAAAGTTTTTTTACGATAAAATTTTTCTAAGTTTGGGGCATTTTTCATCATAATATACTCATTTTTTAGTGAATCTAATTAAAAAATTATGTATAAAAATATTTCTTCAATTTATGTAAATTTATCTGAAAACAACTTTGTATAATTAATTCTCGACTTTTACTAAATATTCACCTAAGAGAGCCACTCAAGAAAGAGGGTTACTAAATTAGATTTTTGTGTGGACGTAAGAGGAGGAAATAATTGTGGATTATGAGGATATGTAGGATAGCTAACGGTTGGCGTCAATGATTAAGATTGTAGTGATCGGGAAAGCATTCTCTCGGGAGTCTGCTACACAAAATAACGGCTCTTGAGATGAAGGTCTCCGAATTAAACTTTCTTTTTGTCAGTGGAATACAAATGCAATGAGGATAGTTTGCGCCTATCTGTATAACATGACGGTTTTTAGCTGTAAATGTCTGAACTGGTGGAACTAGGAAATTCCATAGAAATATCGGCAGAGTAATGAAAGGATCGTAATGATGCGTCTGTGGGCTGAATTCTACTTGGAAAAGTAATTCTTGGAATTGGTTCGACCGAAAAATACGGTCTTTGTTTGATTCGGGTGTTCTCAGAGTGATGAATCTATGTTAATATATTTACAATAAAATGTGTCGTTTTTTTTGTTTTTGTTTTTATGGCATGTCCTTCCACGAAACCCTTTTTCTTTATTAGAGAATTGCTATGATTTTTATTGGTAAGGTAGTAGAATGTTTGCCTTCTCCACGGTTTTGAATTCAGTTTTATTTCTCCTAGACTGACTGCGGCCCAAAGCAGTGGGCCATGTCTCTCCTGCTATTTAAACTATGGCTGGTGGATTTACACCCTGGCAAGCGTTTTGACTGATACGTGTATTAATAAAAACGGATATATTGATGACTGAGAGATTAGTTGTACTGTGGACCATAGTTTGGCTTGAATTTTCGTCAGAAATCGAGAATAGAAATTAAAAAGCAAAGTATAATGTCTCTTTGCTTTTTCATTTTTATTCTCGGTCTCTGACGAAAACTTTAATAAAAAAGGTGAAATTTGCGATTCGTTTTTTATTTTGCTTTTATTCCATTTTTTATATATATATATATATATATATATATATATATATATATATATATATATATATATATATATATATATATATATATATATATATATATATAGAGAGAGAGAGAGAGAGAGAGAGTAGAGTAATGTATAGCGGCTGAGATTGAGGTATAGGAGACCCGAGTTCGAATTACAGTCAAATCCATTACATTCACTTACGTGCTAATACACTTGGGAAATAGCAGGACAGACCGGGTCCTAGGAGAAGGACAACCCCATTCAAAACCTGCGTAGGATTGTTTGGAGAACTTGTGGCACAAAGCCTTCATCACTATAATCAAATCAAGTTGGTGTCTGGGCTGTTGTTTTCTAGGAACCTACAGCCCAGACACCAGCTTGACTCTCATACGTCGAATACGACGGAGAGCCCACCATATATATATATATATATATATATATATATATATATATATATATATATATATATAGAGAGAGAGAGAGAGAGAGAAAGAAAGAGAGAGAATATGTCCCAACATCATCATTTGTACAAAAGTCGAGAGCCTACTTCAAATTTGAAACAACATAGCCAGCACGTGTTTGGGGACGAGAAAGTTGGTAGGAGAGATATACTGATATACTATTATACTGGTATCCTATTACAATGATCTTGACCTTGGAATAATCAACCTTTAAAAAAAAAAAGAAAGAAAGAAATCACTTCTGGAAATCTGGAGAGATTTTCCCATCTTTTGACAGCGTTTGAACAATGTGATTCAATTGCCAATTGTCAATACTAATTAAACTACTTGAGTTACTAGTAAGGGCTGAGAAGTCCACTTGCAGAGAACAGATGACTTTTTGCAAAAAAAATTCCAAAACTCAACATCAGTAAATAATCTTTTCTTTTTTTTTTAATTCTAGGTAAGAGCATTAAAGTAAATCATATAAAATAATTCTCGATCTGACGAGGTTTATTTGCTTGACCCCACTGAGTCAAGTTGTGACACAAGGTTGGTTTTTAACGTGGGGACGTTTTCACTCGGGTCGCTGGTCTAAGCTGGTCTTAACTGGTCATATCTTGTGCAAGCTGGTCAGAGCTGCTCTAAGCTAGTCGTAGATTGTCCAAGCTGGTCAGAGCTGGTCCAAGCTAATCATAGCTGGTCTTGGCTTGTCATAGCTGGTTCAGGCCAGTCATAGCCATGATACTACCAGCACAGGGCCGGAGCCCGGAGTAAGGTAAGTATTTTCTCGATCTGACGAGGATTTCTTTAAGAATATATAGGATAATTCAATTAGCTCAATTTCAAATTTTAAATGACCGAACAAAAAAGAAATAAAGAAAAGAATCAACCATTTTAAATCAATTTACCGTTTTTTGGTGAATTAGACTGACTTTTTAACCTTCCAAATTTTGTCAAAATCTACTTGCTTCTAAAGGTATAAATAAGAAAAGACGGTAAAATAATGGATAGCGGCTCGGATTGTGAAATCAGAAAGCCGAGTTCGAATTCCAGTCGAATCCATTATATTCACTTACGTGCTAATACCCTTGGGCAAGGTATGATGAATCCTCTTCTTCTCCCAGCATCTATGGGTAACTAGCCTTGGATGGCAAATAGTCTACCGCAGAAAGAAATCGAAAGATACATGATCACCTAAGCGAGTATCACGCATGGCACATAACTGACTGACTGAGCTGTTATACTGGCGTTTTGACAAGTTAACTTCAATCTCTCGATGTTTCTATTGACAAGCCATTAAATGAGGAAGCAATGGAACAACTGGATGTAATAGGAAGATTTTGCTACAACCTCTGATGGACGAAGACCAACCCTTGTGCATGTGGGTAAAAATAAGTGATATAATGATTAACCTATTGGGGTATCAGTAGCGCAATGGATGTTATCGAAAATGAAATTCTCTTTAATCAGAATAATAAATCCAGTAATGAGATTTGATTCCTTTGCAAGTGACGGTGGAAGAAATGAGGATCTTGTAGATTTTGAACCAAACTAAATAGCAGTAAACATTTCGTTTCGTTTTATGGCTTTTTTTTTTTCTGATGTTTTGAGCTTTTCATGTTTAGAAAGGTACATACTGACTTTTATCAGATTGAATATTTGTTCAATTAAATCTTTCAAAATAAGGTTGCGTCTTATACAATATTGCGTTTTATATTTTGAAAAATATGGTATTTGTTTTTTTTTGTTTTTTTTTTAAATCAATTCACCCCAAGCAAGACGATAATGCTACTAAGACGCAAAGGGTAAAAGAGAAAGAAAAGATTTTAGAAGGGACCAGATACCCAATCCTAAACAGGAAACAAGGGATAAACCTCTACTTCTGTTCAAAAAGCAGGAGTGGGGAGTGTAAACCAGAAAATAGTCTAACCTACCTATAGTCCTATTGAGGTGAAAAATAAATAAATAAATGAATAATTAGTGAATAAAACTTCAGAGTTCAGACGGACACATTAGACGTATAGAGTTGAAGTAGACTTTAGAAGAAAACCCAGTTCTAATCAGGAAACCATGGACAAACTTCTACAACTATAAGAGTGTGAATCAAGCGATAGGTACAATTTTATGAGATGTTGACAACAGTTTAAACCTTAGAAGATACCCATAATTAGATAAAAGAATATTTAATGCACTGTATTACTCTGTATATGGAAATACTGAAGCTATAATTACTTGGAAATTATAAAAAAAAAAACATTTTTGCAAATCCTAACAAAATATAAGAGTCTGCAACAAAGTAAGACAAGGCGAACGTGCCCTGAGCGCTAATTTTTGAGTTCTAGCTTCTGAAGTTAAAA